ACAAATTTATGATAATTACGTCACTTTATTTCACTTCGTAACATCGTATCACTGAAAAATACAGCTTGACCAGTATGCATACTGATCTCCAGAAAGATATGACCTGATACTTCGCTACGATTACTGATTATTCATGTCACAATCTACTGATTTTATAATGACGTCATAATGTCGGCCGAGTAAAGGTGACGTCATTTATATTGATTTTTTAACGATAACTTCCAACATAACATGTTACTAAAACCAAAGATCGTTGAAACCGTTAATAAATGGCAAGCTTCACGCATTAATTTAACATATTGCGTTAGAACACAATGTGTATCAACGTGCAATGCATATAATTTTTAAAGTGCGTATTTTCTCAACAATCTGTTTTAGACAATCGGAAATATAGATAATTCTACTGATTCCGATTGTCTACCGATAAGGCATCCATAAAGCATCACGTTAACCTATAAAGTGAATGTATACCTAATATCACTGCAGTCACTCAGGGATGTTCCTTTAAAAATATTTTGACAGTAAAAATGAGACATACATACAGTCTTTTGTAATGTAAATAACTAAATATTAAAAGTCAATCCCATACATTCTTGATTTTGGTTAGTTATCTGTTTCAGTCAGTGTAGATGGCAACTTTTATATGGCCATATGGCAGCACTGCCCCTTGCGATAGTAACTCCTAGTATTATCTAATATAATGTTAATTGCTGTACAGATAAGGTCTCCTGCAGGTTTTCTTTGATGTTACTGCACGTTTTCATCACCAAATCTTTGTTTGATGTTAACCCTTCATCTGCCAAGGTGACTCTCAAGTATTTTACTTTGACTTTCACAGGGTAATTTTACTTATCACAATGTTTAACATTCTTGATATAGACCACTCGAGAACAATTTGGACCATCTCAAGTGTACTCAGGCCAATGTCATATATACAATTTTAGTTTGTCGGGAATTTTTTGGTTATAGGAAAAGAAGTGTTAATAGCGACTCAAAAACTATTAAAATTAATACAATTTTAACCATGCATGGATGGGACGGTCAAGTATTTCTCTCCTGCTACCTAAAATGGTATCAAAACGTTTCATTTATAGCTGGCAGGTTTGCGTAAAAACAGTAAATAAAGGGTTTTGACGTTTCCATGGTCATAATAAGTTCTGATGAAAAATGGGTGGCTAAAGACGTTTTTTTACAAAACAAAGAAAGCAACAAAACACTGCGTATAAGACTACTGCTCTTAAGACTAGTGTCTCTATTTGGCTTGAAACGACCTGTCAGATTATTGTTGAATTTTTGCATAATTTAAAATTAAATATTCAGGTGGCTTGCAAAACGCCCACAGACCTAAAAGACATTTAATGTAAATAAATCACTTAAACACTTACAGCAGGAAATTAAGGCGGAGATTAAACATCCCACTGTAAGAGGATAATAACACTTTGAGAGTCTGTGATGCAGTTAGGATCTCCTGGTATTGCGGATAGACAATATAAATCCCCAAAAGTGTTTATAAAGTCAGTGTTCTGGCAACTTCTGGGGAAGGATGTTTTTTATTGGATCTACTGTATTTACAATTTCTTTTGTTTTGAGAACAGTGAGTTTGCGTCATTGTTTAGAGCACTTTAGTTAGAACACTTCATGTTGTTTTTGGGTGGCCTGCGAGCGGCTCACTTTATAGGGAAGGGAGCGAGGAATAGTCATACGTTGTTTAATTAAAGTCGAATAAAATTGGTGTATGGAGTCTTTTAGTCCATTGAAGGGATCTTTTATTATTCTTGCCATCAGTTTGCTGGACAATCTAGCCATCAATTGAAATTGCTTAATAAAAATAAGTGGATTCTTGCCATTTGATCTTAATTTTACGTCGGGTTCTTTTGTCTATTGTGGAATGTATTGAAAGAAATTTTTATTAATTATTATTATTAAACTCTGAGCTATAGCAGTCCATAAATCATTTTATCAGTTTGTAATGATTCGAACTTATGCAAACTAATAAACACGGTGTTTTCATTAAAAAAACCCCAAAATAATTATGGTTATCGCTTGCTAACCTACAGGAAACCTATGAAACCAACAAGAAACAACTGCACAACCACAGATGCATTCATTAATATGGCAAAATGAAAATTTAACCAACCATGCATGCATGACTGTTTAGTTATTATAACCGGATTAAGTTTATTGATACTGTAGCTCACAATGATTACCCGATTACGAATAAATACATGGCTTATGTTAAAAAATGTGAATGCTTACCTTTTGTCTTTGAACCCATCTTTGCGTCAATTCTTGTTTAATTCTATTGTCAATTAAAACACTGTTGTTGTATTTAAGCCAAGAAAAAAATAGGGCCGTTTGATACACGTATAGGCGTACGAGGTGGGGGACCGGCGGGGCAACTGCAGCCCCCACACACATGCACACACACACACACACACACACACACACACACACACACACACACACACACACACATAAAGGTCGACAAGGAACCTCGTTCCCAGCGTGACGGATGTGAGACTCTGTAAAATAGATTGGTCGATAAGTTGGGCAAATTTTCAACGTGAGTCGGGCAAAAAGTATTGGGAAAAATGTATAGAACAGCAAGTAAAAAGTAATCAAAGCAATTCAATATCTGTGTATTATGACGTCTTTATGATCATCTATATGAAGGGTTTTACAGTTGCAGTTGTAAAGTTGATATAAATGTAGTGACGCTGTCGCTGGCTTATTACTTCAAGTTAGTCAATTTTGCAGTCTTATTTCTCTTATACATAATAGTGCATGTGCATTCAAACCTCCGCCCTATGTGTTGAAATAAAGTTATTTAGTCCCAAAAACTCCATTTTGCGTACGTAAGAAGTAATGGTTTAACCCCCTCCCTCCTTTGTACGCAAATGTACGTATTAATCATACCCCCTCCCCCCATGCGTACCTACTAAATGGATGGCCCTTTACATTCATTCGAACTGAGATTCGAACACGCACTGTATATGCAACCAATAGTGTCATGTGTGTCAAGAGTTTTGAGGCCGCCCCCGGACATTCAAAAGTTGGCTTTTTAGGTTTCAGGTGGGAAAATGTTCTCTCAACTGCTGTTTCAATAAATGTAGGCCCGTACGCCTATGTTAGTACCTATAAAAGTTTTTCCGGAATTAAAAGCAATAATACTTTAATTTCCACATCACAGAAACTTTGATTAATGCACAGGTAACTGATTTCATTTCTCCGCAAATCAAAACTATACTCAGAGTTATTTGATTTTACTGCAGTATATATGTCTGCATATTTTTGCTTTCCGGCTTTATTATTATGTGATTAATTTATTACCATATTGATCCGAAGTATGAATACGAAGTGTGAATTGCCGTTCTTTTCGGAACTGCCCTCGAACGCCAGTTCTTTATAATGTTGCGACAATGCATTGCTGAATGACTTTTCCTGTTTGCCTCAGTAATAGATCTCGTGCAAATATATCGAAGCATGAGTATACGGTCATTGCAGTCGTTGCTGGAGTAGCACGTGAAAAGATCTTCTCCTAGCTTCTCCTGCATAACGGCGTTTAATATAAAGTTATCTTGCAGCGAAGCAAAAAGCAACGTGATTGGTTAACGAGAAACTTCCCAGCCGAAATATAAAATCAAACCACCTTGCTGCATGTGTAAAAAATAGGGGTTTTAGAGGTCGTTCTATGTGAAGGAAATGGGATATTGTTCCCCTTTTGAATTTTACAATATTTGACGCAACGTGAAATTGTCCTTGCTGAAAGACATGTACATTACACTATTTAACTGTCAAGCGCGCATTCAAACTCAAACAGAAACTACTGGACAATGTCCGTGCATGGCCAATCGTAGCGGGCGCATGCATTTCTTTGATACAGTGTTTTCCCCAACTGCATGAATATCTTATTTTGCCACTTCTTTTTTGTAATCAAATAATGTTTATTTTTAATTTTATTAAAAAGGAAATGGCAATATAAATTTTTATTTTCTCATTTGAAAGACGTTTGAAACTATATATTAACTTCTTTTACCGATTTTTCACTTATCTTGCTTAGTTCTTGAAATATTTTCACTAAAAGTAATGACTAGATGTCCGCCATCTTGGATAAATTTTTGATATCACTAACAGTAGTTTTGGTGACGTCACAACTCTACAAAAATTGACGATGGCGGACATTTCATTCCTTTCGATCAAAATATGATTTGTAGAAGTAAGCAAGATATGGAAAAAAAAACAGTAAAAGAGTATTATATATAGTCTTCGCTGTTGCCTTGCATGTGGGAAACTGGGAAAGTTGACTGTCTTAGCATGAGTGTCTGTTTAGTTGGTTTTTTTGTTCATGCAAAGTACCAAGTTTCTCCATTACTGTGCTGCAGACAGTTACCGTAGTGAACCGCCCAGAAATCCCATCTGTTAGTGTGTACGGATTTGTTTGCTTGTTAGCAACCCCAAGGGAGAAGTGAAAACTAGGTAGCTAACAACGTCGATGCCGATACAATTTTCCAGTAAACGGTCAACGTACGAGATCTGTATTCTTACCATTGCCTTCAGAAAATTAATAAAAACATGTGATTCTAATTTAATTTTTAATTTAATTTATCTAACTTTGCCTTGGTAACAATATTAAGAAGAAACATCAAATTACTATATATATAAACAAGGCAGGATTACCGCAACAGCTACAGCCAATTACTGCGGATCCTTCTTCACATTATTCGATAAATTAGTTAAGTTTACTGAACAGGAAACGGAAAAGAACTAAATAATAAAATCAATCAACCAATTAACGAACTGTTCAATTGACGTGTTCAATTGACGTGTTCAATCAACCAACCAAGAGATCAGGCAATCAGACACTTACTTATAAAAGTATATTTTACCATTGGCAAAAGCAAAACCTTTCCATACAGTGTAATAGCATGAATATGAAAAAACTCTAAAAAAACACAGTGACTGAAATTTACACACAATCCAGTTTGAAAATAACCTGGAAGATGCCCGTTCACAGCCGCGATCTGGAATTACCTGGTATGGAAAGGCCCTGGTTTTACCAAAATATAAATAATCAGTTGCGCGAGGTTCAAAAACAACAAGAAGGTGGAACCAGCAAACTTCGAACACAGTTACATTTGACACAGGTTGTCTTCCATGTACGTGGGTCGTCAGGGTCGAAAGTTAAGGAAAGAGCGGAATAGTAGTATTCTTTCAGAATATTCTTGAAGGTGGCAAGAGAAGATTTGTTGTGGTTTTGGGTTATTTCTTTCGGTAGTGCGTTCCATGTCCGTGTTGATTGTATGTAAGATCTGCTGTACGTTGATGTTCTGTATCGTTGCTCTTTGAAGGTAGTACCAACCGCATTACGCGACAATCTTGTTGATCTCTCAGATTTCTTTGATTTCGGTAGGAAAGTATCGTTCACATGGATAAGATTGTTTATTAGTTTGAAGAAAAAGACCATGTCTAAGTACTCATTAAGTTACATTGAATTAGTCTGTCTTTGTATGAGACGTCGGAGTTAAATGGCAGATGGAGAATATATTTAGTTGCACGTCGCTGAACCGGTTCAATCTTTCTTATTTGCTCTACAGTTTGAGGCGCCCAGACTTGCGTCGCGTAACCAAGATGAGCACGTACAATTGTTAAATAAATTGTTCGTCTTATTGTGAGAGACTTTAAATCTTTTGTTGTTCTTTTCACGTACCCCAAGATCTGGTTTGCTTTTGTACTCTGCGATTCTACCTGCTTCTTCCACGATAGATCAGACGAGATCCATACTCCAAGGTCACGTTCTTGGAAACAGTGGTCGAGCTGCGTATTTCCCATGGAGTATGAGGCCATAATGGGCTTTCGTTTACGCGATATTGTCTGAACTTTACATTTAGACTGATTAAACATAAGATCAGAAGACGATGACCAGTTGTTTATATTGGTCAGATCTTCTTGTAGGATAGAGCTGTCTGCTTCACACGATATGCATTGGAACAATTTGGTATTGTCTGCGAAGGTTGCAATTGTAGACGAGGATATCGCATCGGGTAGATCATTAACGTAAAGCAGAAACAGGATTGGACCCAAGATAGATCCTTGTGGTACTCCGGATGTCACGGGCGTCGACGTAGATGTTGACCCTAACGCTGTCACTTTTTGTCGACGATGGCGAAGATAGGACTGGAACCAAGAAAGCAGGCCACCGTTGAATCCAAAACTACGGAGTTTATCGATCATCTTCGTGTGATTCACTTTATCGAATGCACTTTATGTGATTCACTTTATCGAATTTTTTATTCTACACCGCAAGCTAGCTTTCTCCGCAGGCAACTCGGTGGCCAAAAGGCAGAATTATGCTATGCTTATAGAATCTGATGGGGTAACAGGGATCATGAGGGATAATTGTGTAGTGAGGATATTTTCATTACTGTCACGCCCCTACACGTCCCCCTCAATCTGCTAAATAGTGCGCATATTTCGCGGCCGTTGCTTTCCAACAAGTTGCCTGTGGAGGAAGCTAACCGCAATCAATCAAATATTTAATCAAGGCGCCTAAACAACATACATAACTAAAACTAAATACACATGTAGGCCCTAACAGGATGAACTTGTGGATAGAGATTAGCTCTATAATCCAGAGATTCCGGACTCCTGCACAGGTCACACGGATTAAAAATAGATCAGAAGTATATTATTTTAATATCCATTAAATCTCACAAAATTATTTGAAATTTGATATTCAACTGAAAGTCTTAGCTGTGTCATTTTAATTAAGCACCAAGTTAGCGTGTGAGAAGATGAAACGACCACGGCGTTTTGAAATCAGGTCTACATGCACTGGTTGTTGAACAGAGGTTGATTGAGACAGAAGATTTGTAAAAACAATAGCGAGCTTTAAGCAAGCAACGTTTTGTCAACATGGACGTCACCCGAAAATTGGTATAACTAATTGTGGCGCCATTTTGCATCATAGCACTCGTGTAATGAAGCGAAAAACTTTAATAAAAGACTTTCATATGTGTTGACGAGTACCACAAACTGACACAAACACAGTTTTTAATCCAGTCCCCCCTCGGCAATCTGACGTCCGTGTTGACAAAAATGTCGCCAAAAGAGCAAGAACGTAAAAATACTGTAAAAATACCAAGTCTTATTCTTCAAAAACACTTCGTCTTATTCTTATTCTTCAATTCAAGTGTTATTCTTCAAAAACACTTCATCAAGTAAAAAACAGTGAAAAACCTGAGCAAAAACGGTAAAAAGTCGAGGCCATAAAGCCAAAAAATTAAAAATACAACCAGAAGTTCAGGTTTTGGCGCGAAAAATGAAGGCGTGAAAAGATTAGATTATCTTCCAGCACGGTAAAAAACCCGAAAAATGGATGGGAAGAGCTGACCGTTTACAAAGAGAACAAGAGACTAACGAACTACTATATAGTACGCACGCAAATTCCTCTGAGTAGACAAACTACGCACATATAGTACGTCTTGAGGGACGATCCGTGTGTTTACCCGCGTTTATAAACAGACGAATTATATATTATATTATATTATATTATTTTATTTTATTTTATATTATATTATTATATTATATTATATTATATTATATTATATTATATTATATTATATTATATTATATTATATTATATTATATTATATTATATTATATTATATTAAATCCTGTATATTATTATAAATCCTGTATATTCTATATATTCTCTGGTTTCATTTGACGTCACGTGGGGGCCAAGGGCTTGGTTGTATTTTTCGCGCCAAAACCTGAACTTCAGGCCTATAGTTTGTGTAAAGGGCAAAGGACGGCTTTTATATTATTTTATATTGGCTTTTATAATAGTTGGAGAAGTCATTTACATACGATTCGTTGACAACCTTTTTGTTTCATGGTTGCTTCAGTTGACCCCAGTTCAATGATTGACCCCCAGTTGAGTAAATTATCACTGAAAATTATGCTAAAACGTCAAGTGGTTGAAACTCGAGAATAGCCACTGTTTCTTACTGTGAGCCCAGAAGAGGAGCTTCAAAAACAGCCGAGTCATGAAAACAAACTACACATGCGCACAGTGGATACGCTGGATACTTTGCGAGGTGTTTGCCAAGATATTGCCCCTCTTTTGTTGCTGAAAGTCTTAGCCTCACGACTATTAGTCAGCAATTACATGTATTCCAAGGCTTTTTAGAAATTATTGGGGACGATTGACTCCTCCCGGTCCCTTTAGTGTTTGCCACTAATGGCGAGGCCATGTGCACATCTAAAAGGCTAACGGGCTTGAACGAGACCACGAAGAGAGTCCCGCATGAAAAACCTAACCTGGATGCATATATAATAGTTAATTATTGGATGGAGGCATGTGTACTGTATACTGTGTTTTTGTATAAAAATAATTAACGCTTGGGTTTGACCTTCTTGACAGGTCTGAGTGTAAGAATTTCACCTAAGAAATCCACCCAATATCGGGGTCAATATGTCGTATTCCATTGTTATGTAACTGGAAATCCGGTGCCAATAGTCACGTGGTACAGCAAGGGCAAGGATATTACTCGTGATCCACGAACTGAGATTGGTAAAGTCCCTGGAGGGTATATAATGAGATTGGGTCCAGTTCATCCATTCTTTGATAACGGTACGCTAGAATGTCGAGGAAAAAATGGTGTGGATTCTCCAGTATCTGACAAAGTGGAACTTCGCGTACTGCTAAAAACCTTTGGTAAGTTGTCAAGTCTCTGATATTTACCTATCCTGTTATGTATCAGAGATGTGTCAGGTACATCTAGGCCAAAGTATTGTGACATACTGGTACATTTATGTTACATTCACTTTCACTGTAGTGGTAAATTTGTTTACTGCAGTATCCGGCAGTATCTCTTGGTATCATAGACGGATTTTGTGTGTGTGTGTGGGGTGCCACCCAATATTAGATATAACCCCACCAAACAAAATGTCCACCCCTCCAAAAAAATTTTCAACCCCCCCCCCCAATATTCGGCATAATAAAAAATAATTAAATAGTCCACTCCAATGTGCAGAGTGTTGATGATACAAAATAAACGTGAGAGTACACTCAAATAGAAAAAGACAGTGCAATACTCTGAAACTAATCGCTCCTCGCTTGCATTCACTGATCTATTGGAGCAATTGTAAAGTTTTGAAACTCTATTATCTCCCCTGAATAGAGTTTTCAGTGCCTTGTCATGCAAATAGCTTGCTTGCAAGGAACGTTTGGAATTTTTACGAACATTATTTTTAGCTTTTAATTCTTTTAGGAAATAGACTTGCCTAGATTTAATCTTTACGCCCCAAATATTATTTACATTGGAGTTGCATCATAAATTGTACTCGGATTCAAACGATACATTGTCAATGACTTTATAAAAGTAAAAGCATATTGTGTATTGGCCTATTGGGTTTACACTTTTACAGGTTCTTTTAACTTTAACTCCCTCAAGTCTCAACAGACAATCGGACATGCCAAATCCATTGATATGACAACTTCAAAAAACTTTTTTTCGAAGCTAGAAATCATGATTTTTTTCAAATTTTTCCAAGGGTAAAAATTTGTTTTCTGCTCTCTAGATTCCCCTTCGCTGCTCTAGTGCTCCACCCCTAGAATATAGATAGACCTTACTGGGGTTTGGTGACACTTTGTGTTGTTTCAGTCACCTGCTCACGGCTCACCCCCCTAAAATTTCGGGCACCACCCCAGTAAAAAATATGAAAATCCGTCTATGCTTGGTATTTATGAAAATGTAGTCGAGCAGGCGAGCAAATTTTATCTAAATAAATGAAATAGAAAATTAATATTGATGTTCAAGGGTCAGGCACTCTCGATCATCTAACGTCAGAGAGCGTGTCCTGAAGGGCGGGAGCCTGGAGGGGAGCAGCAGGGGCAACTGGCCCCCTCGCTAGAGAAAATTGAAGTTATTAATTTTATAATGATATTAAAAATGTGGGCTCGCATTAAAATCGTATGTATGTGATTTTATGTCCATTTTCGACACATGTTTGGGAAATTCATATTGGGAAAACATTTTATGTAGCTACTGTACACGGTCCTGGTCGCAAAGAAAACAAACTAACTTTAATTTCTTTCAGTGTTACTGGACCCAAACCTGCCTCCTGGAATCCCCAAACCGTTGGCACGTTATAACCCAAATCTTGATGTTTACGTTGGCGCAAATATTACCTTGGTTGTGAATGTTAGTGGAAATCCCTTGCCTAAGATCACTTGGTTTAAAGACAAAAGGTTACTGGATTGGAGTAATACCAGATTCACTCTGTTGAAGAATAATAGTTTGAGAATAACCAATGCTCAGGTTGCAGACCAAGGCAGATACGACTACATGGCTGAAAACAATAAAGGGCAAATATTTCCAAGACCTTGGATTGTTGGGGTGGATTGTAAGTAATGTCTACAACGTGAGGGGCTGTTTTGTAAACAAACAAGGGCTTGTTAAAACCATTTGTATAGTCATAAAGCACTAAAAATGTATCTAAACCATGGATAACTAAGGGAATATATATAAGGGAATTAATATAAGGCGTTATACAAAGATCGACAATAAACTTTCTACACAATCTGTGGATAAATATATTGTGTATAAAGTACAGTATATATGGATAATCGTGGTCAATTTCCATATTAAAGGGTATGAGCAACAAAAATTTTATTGCTTCATCTGAAAGAGCATGAAAAAATAAGCCGATTGGCCGTTTAATGCTCTATTCTATCTCATCTGGTTCCGAAGTTATACGCAAAAATGTGTAAAATATAAATTGCTGATTCAGTACAACATGTGACGTCGTAAGCTGGGTAAGTATGTTAACTTTATTGAATAGTAAACTGAAGCATAGCTCAGTTATTATTGTCTCAAATCAAATGAAATTTTGCATACAGATAGTACATGATGAGACGCATGGGAAAATACTTCTAATTTTGTTGTCAAGGCAACATAGTCGTTCCCAGGCCCCTTACACTGATTTTGAATAACTAGTTGCATTTATCTATGTGTATGTCATTTTCGAATTATTATCATGCAAGTAAACTTTTGGCATGCATAGGCATGGTACACATACTTCTGATATTATTTTATTCTTATAAGTACCATGAATAAAGCTGTTTTATAAAATTGGCGCAAGGGGCCTGGGAACGACATTGTTCCCTTGGCAACAAAATTAGAAGTGTTTTTCAATACGTCTCATCATGTACAATCAGTATCCAAAATTTCATTTGATTTGGGCCCATAATAACTGAGCTATGCTTCAGTTTAGTATTCATTAAACATACTTACCCAGCTAATGACGTCACACGTTGTGCTGAATCAGCAATTTATATATTTGCGCATTTTTGCGTATAACTTCGGAACTAGATGAGATAGAATAGAGCATTAAACGGCCAATCGGCTTATTTTTCCATGCTCTTTCAGATGAAGCAATAAAATTTTTAGTTGCTCATACCCTTTAACATCCTCAATTATCATATATACAGTCCTAACCCTAGTCGAATCCCTTATCCCTAACACTGAATTCCAACCCTAATCCTTGTAATGTAATTTCGTGATGGTAATATTGAAGTCACCCAAATAGTAACAAAAGTTTTTTAAAAATTGGCTACTTTTTCCTCACGCTCATTCAGATTTGACCTTTCACTGTTTCACTTATTAGTTATTTAACTTTAATCATAGTCTAATACCCACATTATTTTATTCGTATAGATATTAAAACAAAACCAGGATTCAAACCAGGACTAAAAAATCAAGTTGTCGACCCAGAAACAGACATTGTGTTAAACTGCTTAGCCACAGGTTACCCCAAACCAGATGTCTTATGGAAAAACAGTAAAAATCGTACAATACAAGAAGATGGATTTCTCCGCATCACAAACGTCCGAAAGTCTGAAACATACAGATGTTTTGCAAAAAATGAACTAGGTAACGCGACGATTTCAGTGAATGTGACTCTTAGTGGACTACCTTTTGCACCAAGAAATCTCAAACGAAAGTCTCAAACAGGCTATTCTCTGACTGTGTCGTGGCAAGATGGCGAAGCCGGGACAAAGATTGATTATCATGACATTAACTACCGTAAGATAGGTGATCTGTATTGGAGAACTGCATATGATATACCAGGAAATTTGAGAGAATACCGTCTAGATGATCTGAATGCGTACACTGATTACGAAGTACAAGTGTTTGCCCGGAACAAAGTTGGAAAAAGTAAAGGAAGTAAAATTATTAACATAATGACGAATGAAACTGGTGAGTTTATGAAAGTATCTTAGTTACAGTATGTTTTGTGATGATAGTGATGATCAGGTTGATTGCCGTTTCTCTGGAGCATAGAGATAATATATATAGAATGCGCACTCTTTTCTCAGTGAAAATTCTGTCTCCACAAAATAGCGGATTTATAAGGGTATTTTGGCTCGTCCCAATCTCCTGTAGCAGTTGTAATTAAGGAGTGCGAATTGTGTTTTTGAAAAAGATTTGCGAAACTGATATTTAACGAAGTGGCTATATTCGTACTGGAACAGTACGCCGAGTTTGATTTGCTATTCGTCCTGCAGTCGGAATATTTAAGATAAACTAACCCCAAACCCTTCTCTAACCCTAACCCTAACCCTAACCCTAACCCTAACCAATAAATGTCTAATAAACTATTTGAGAGTTAAAAAAGTCGGGGGGAAATTTTAAAATATTTTAAGAAAAATTTCTAAGTCAAACAGAAAACCGACTGCTAAAACAAAACTGGACCGGACCTCGTTTCACTATGCAAGCACGCAACGCCTTTGCCGAATACGCTAGCGGTAAGCTCGCTGAAAGCTGTTCCAAAAAATTATTTTATATTACTTTACGAAATGTAAGAATCGGGTGTCATACTCCAATACGAATAGCCATTTCGAATATTTAATATGGATCCTGCAGACCAAAATGACAAACAAGTTTTGTAAACGACACAAACTTTTTGATTGATTCCATGTTGCTGCAATGACGTTGATAGCATATGAGGTAAAAAAAAAGAAGAAGGAATTCCGTAAGACTATATTATACGTACAATACGTGATCGCACAGCCTACCTCACAGCGAACCCAAATAAAACATTTCTATTTTTCTGAAAAGCGTTTCCCCAAGGAGCGCTTCGGCTATTTGTTTGATTAATTGCAGTAAATATTTTGGAAACAAAAAATCTAGCAACGTTTGTTTACACTTCAATCAACCATTCAACCAATCATTGAATATGGAATATATCAGCATATGCGATGTTGGTGACATCCGAACGCAGAACTTACAATGACTATAAGACAATGAAAAAATGTTTTCTTACAATTATAGCCATGCGTGGCACAAAAAAACGATACGATTATTTTGTTATAAATATTTTTTTATTTCTGTTTCAATGTGAAATACTTTGTATCTGTTTAAAAAACTTTTCATATGAAAGTACTTGACTATTGTACAACAATATTAATTACAAGTTCATAAATATCATCATGGAGATAAATAATGATCGTTCATGAAGTATATTATGTCAATGTTCGTGTAGATGAATCATTCTTTGTCGTTTATTAGTGTGAAGTTTCTTCGAAACTTCACAGTATTGTGATGGTGGGGAAAATTCAAACGAAACAGTCAGTCAGTCATACAGTAAACTTTCCGGGGGGCGTGTACGATTTATGTTCGTAGTGATTTATTGTGCTTAGCCAGTGCTTTGAAGGTTATTTAGGCAATTTCAGTTAACTTATTTACATATTCTGTTATTCTTTTACCAAGTTCACAAAAATTTCGAGCAATCGCTTTCGTTATTGTAATTCTTTGTAAATTTTAGAACATTCGCTTCTCATGTTGTGTAAAGGATCTTTACCCCGGAACACCCGATTTTTCTTTAGTAGCGCAAATGCGCATGCGCTATCAAGCCGTAGATCACGATGGCGTGACGATATGCTAGGAAGGAGTGACAGTGTTGTTTTCAGATGTATAAACATTTCAGACGTGAATATTGAGTAAATCTTTGAAAATCTACGCAATATATAAATTGATCTTATGCGTTACGGCCGTTCAATTAATAAGTGTCGATAATATTTAGGCGGTATATTCATTATACAGAGCTAGGAAGGAGCTAGACCGCCTAGACAGTGCATTTAAGACTCAAGTGTATAAACATTTCAGACGTAAATATTGAGCCGAAAATCTTTGAGATTCTAGGCATTCAATTGAGTGCTGATATTATTTTCACGGTATACTCATTATACGGAGGTACAGTACGTACGAAGAAGCGAGACAGTGTTGTTTTCAAGTATATAAACATTTCAGACATGAATATTGAGAAAATCTTTGAGATTCTACGCAATAATACAATATATATGATTCATCAATTAATATGTAAGTGCCCATCGATATTATTTAGACCGTGTATTCATTATACATTGTCATTGACTGTATAAGGTGCTACATCACAGAATAGATGGCTAAGAGCGAAAAATTGCATCAGATCTGTACCAGATCAATAAAGCATAAACAACTATTACTGTAAACGGGTAAACGTTTGCACGGCGTTTACGAGGAAAATAACTTGCGAGACTAAAGAAATCAGTTGAGCCAGAGCTCCTTATTTAAATAAGAAAGACGAGGAGATAGCCAATGTGTTATCGCCAATCTGTACCAGATCAATAAAGCATAAACAACTATTAAACGGGTAAACGTTTGCACGGCGTTTACGAGAAAAAGAACTTGCGAGACTAAAGAAATCATTTGAGTCAGAGCTCCTTATTTAAATAAGAAAGACGAGGAGATAGCCAATGTATTATCGCCAACGTGTTATCGCCAATCGCTTTGCTCGCCAACAAGCTTTATGCAATAGAAGAAAAAAGCAAGGAGGTACATGTAGCCAACGTGTACTGTCGCGGACCTTGTTTACTGTCTAGCACAACGCCGTTGTCAACGGTGCAAATTCGTGTTCAGTGCAACGTTAACTCTACCAGATCTTACGAGAATTAATCTGTAGTATTCTGTACACAGAACTGTATCAAAGCTTGTCAAAACTGCTTTAAACACTGCTATAACTGTGAAACTATTGAAATCTAAAGTGACATTATTCAAAACATGCGAAAAGTTAAAAATAGACACAACGTGACACTGGGAAAAGTCAAAGGTCAATGCGGACCAATCTCGTTCCCCGAGCATGCCCGTTCGCAGGTTAAGGGTGGGGTTAGGTTAAAACGCGGAAGCGGAACGGAACGGATGCGGAACGGAACGGAACGGATATGGGTTTAAAATGCGGAACGGAACGGATATGCGGAACGGATATGGGGTTAAAATGCGGAACGGAACGGATATGGGGTTAAAATGCGGAACGGAACGGATATGGGGTTAAAATCCATCTGGTGGACGGGACCCCACC